CCTTCCCTTCTACAAGACATCACATTAGTCTATTACATTGATGACATCATGCTGATTGAACCAAGTGAGTAAGAAGTAGCAATTATCATATTTTTTGCAAATAACACACGCCTTCTATGTTTGTTTGCCAACTACACCCTCTCCCCATGAGGTATTTTCACAAGCACCACTATGCCAATTTTTTTTACATGTTGATGTAAAACAAATAGCATAGTGTGCTTACAAACATACCTCGTGGTGGCGGGGAGGGGGGAGGTTTCAGTTGGCAAACAAATGTAGAAGATGCGTGTTACTTGCATAAAAATATGGTGCTCTAGATTTACTAGTAAGACATTTGCATATCAGAGGGTGAAAAATAAATCCAACAAAACTTTAGGGGCCTTCTACCTCAGTGAAATTTCTAGGAGTTCAGTGGTGTGAGGCATGCCAAAATATCCCTTCTAAGGTGAATAGTAAGTTGTTGCATCTGGCCCCTCTTACAGCTAAAAAGAAGGTACAATGCCTAGTGGGCCTTTTTGGATTTTGGAAGCAACATATTCCTCATCTAAGTGTGCTACTCTGGCCCATTTACCAAATGACTCGAAAAGCTGCTAGTTTTGAGTGGAGGCCCAGAATAAGAATAGGCTCTATAACAGGTCCAGGCTGCTGTGCAAGTCACTCTGCCACTTGGGCCATATGATCTAGCTGATCCAATGGTGCTTAAAGTGTCAGTGGCAAATAGAGATGCTGTTTGGAGTCTCTGGCAGGCCCCTATTGGTGAATCACAGCACAGACCCTTAGGATTTTGGAGCAAAGCTTTGCTATTCTCTGCAGATAACTACTTTCCTTTTCAGAAACAGCTTTTGGCGTACTACTGGGCCTTAGCAGAGACTAATGCTTACCCATGGGCCAACGAGTTACCATGTGGCCTGAGCTGCCCATCATGAACTGAGTGTTGTCTGACCCACAGAGTCATAAAATTGGGCATGCACAGCAGCACTCTATCATCAAATGGAAGTAGTATGTATGAGACTGGGCTTGAGCAGGCCCTGAAGACACAAGTAAGTTACATGAGGCAGTGGCCCAAATGCCCATGGCCCCTACTCCTTCTACATTATTTTCTCTCCCATTGTGCATCTGTGGCCTCATTGAGAGTTTCTTATGATCAGTTTACTGAGGAAGAGAAAATTCAAGCCTGGGTTACAGATGGTTCTACACGATATGCAGGTACCACCCAAAGGTAGACAGCTGTAGAACTGCAGCCACTTTCTGAGACATCTCTGAAAAACATTGTGAAGAAAAATCCTCTCAGTGGGCAGAACTCTGAGCAGTGTACCTGGTTGTTCATTTTGCCTGGAAGGAAAAATGGCCAGAGTTGTGACTGTACACTGATTCATAGGCTGTGGTCAATGGTTTGGCTGGAAGGTCAGGTACTTAGAAGGAACATGATTAGAAAATTGGTGACAAGGAGGTATGGGGCAGAGGTGTGTGGATAGACCTTTATGAATGGGCAAAAAATATGAAGATATTTGTGTCCCATGTGAATGCTCACTAAAGGGTGACCTCAGCAGGGAAGAATTTTAATAATAAAGTGGATAAGATGACGTGTTCTGTGGATACCAGTCAGCTTCTTTCCCCAGTAACTCCTGTCATGAACCAAGGAGTTCATGAACAGAGTAGCTATGGTGACAGGGATGGAGGTTATGCATGGGCTCAACAACACAGACTTCCATTCACCAAGGCTGACTTGGCTACAGCCACTGCTGAGTGTCTAGTCTACAAGCAGCAGAGACCAACACTGAGTCCCCAATACGGCACCGTTCCTTGGGTGATCATCCAGCTACTTGGTGGCAGGTTCATTACATTAGACCACTTCCATCATGGAAGGGGCAGCTTTTTGTTCTCAGTTGAATAGACCCTTAATCTGACTACGGATTTGCCTTCTCTGCAAGCAATGCTTCTGCCAAAACTACCATCCATAAACTTAGTGAAAGCCTTGTCCACAGTCATAGTATTTCACACAGCATTGTTTCTGATCAAGGAACTCACGTTACAGCAAATAAAGTGTGACCATGAGCTCATGATCATGGAATTTACTGATTTTACCCTGTTCCCCATCATCCTAAAGCAGCTAGCTTGATGACTCAGTTACAGTACCAGCTAGGTGGCAATACCTTAGCAGTACAAGAGGCTGTATATACTCTAAATCAGCGTCCAATATATAGTGCTGTTTCTCCCATAGCCAGAATCCATGGGTCCCAGAATTGAGGAGTAGAAACGGGAGGGGTACCACATACTATTACTCCTAGAGATCCACTAGCAAAATTTTTGCTTCCTGTACTGTGACCATATGCTCCATTGGTCTAGAGGTCTTAGTTCCAAAGGGGAGAATGTTTCCATCAGGAGACACAATGATTCCATTGAACCAGATGTTAAGAATGCCACCTGGCCATTTTGGGCTCCACATGCCTCTGAATCAACAGGCAAAGAAGGGAGTTACCACACTAGCTGGTGTAATTGATCCTGATTACTGGGGGAAATTGGACTGTTATTACACAATGAAAGTAAGGAAGAGTATGTCAGTAATATAGGAGATCCCTTAGGGCATTACTACCATTCTCTGTGATTAAAGGCAATGGGCTCCAATGGAAAACTACAATAGTTTAATTCAAGCAGGACTACTAATGACCCAGACCCATCAGAAATGAAGGTTTAGGTCATCCTACCAGGTAAAGAATAATCGCCAGCTGAGGTGCTTGCTGAGGGCAAAGGGAATATGGACTGGATAGTGGAAGAAGGTAGTTTTAAATACAAGCTACAATCACATGACCAAGTTGCCGAAATGAAGTCTATAATTTTTATGAGTATTCTGTATTTTGTTATGAATGTGCATGTGTGTGTCTCAGATACGTTTGTTTTCTTCCCTCTCTCATCCCCTTATCATACAACATAGATATATTAACTTTACATCACAGGATTTAAGTTATAGGATATCAAGGAGAAGAGTGAACATCACCCAAGGATTTTGCATCCTTTTCTGGGAAAAGGGTTAATGTGTCCTGGATAGTTGTAACATGTTAGGCAGAAGTATGACTTTGTTATTCTATTTATTTTGAGATTAAGTATGGTTCAAGGAGATATGTATGGGTGCCAAGTGGTCAAGGGGTGAACTGGGATGGTTAATTTTAGTGTCAACTTGGCTAGGCTATAGCAGCCAAGTATTTGGTCAAACATTAGTGTACCATATTTTTATGCAAATTATGCACGCCTTCTACATTTGTTTGCCAGCCACACCCTCCTCCCACAAGGTATTTTCATAATTGCCACTATGCCAGTGTTTTTTCACATGTTGCTGTAAAAAAAAATTAGCGTAGCACGCTTATGAAAATACCTCACTGGGGGAGGGTGCAGTTGGCAAACAATATATATATACCCTATTAGTTTTGTTTCTCTGGAGAACCCTGACTAATACAGTCAAGATCACTTAATATGTAGGAATATACAGCTTTTGTTAACTTGTATCCTCCTTGTTCCTAATTTTAAGGGCAGATAAGTTTTACCTTTGATATTTCTCCAGAATTAAAAAAAAAAAAAAATCTCAATATAACAATAACTTGGACTTCTACCTGTACATGGCCCTTGGTTAATTTCATTTTATATGTCAATGTCTCTCAGTTGAAAAATACCCCACACTTGATTGTTTGGCTAGTCTCCATTTCACGTGTCTTGTTTCCCCGCCTTGACTTAGGTAGTTGGGAACAAGGTTAGCTAAGACCACATTTGAGTTCTTCTTTGTGATGCCTGCCGCCTAGTTAGGGGTTCAATAAAGGAGGGACCTACTCTTCCTTAATTGTGCGGGATTCACTTTCTTTGTAAGCAGTGAAGATGTTGGCTGAGAATAAGATAATCTCTGCACTGCCGTTCCCTTACTCTACAAATTCAGGAGGCCAGAAGCCTGGACTGGCTACATAATTTGCAGGACTCAATGAAAAATGAAAATGTGGGGACCCTTGTTTAAAAAGTATTAAGAATTTCAGGATAGCAACAGCAGAGCATTAAATCCAAGTGCAGGGTTTGCTGAGCACAGGGCCCTGTGCAGCTGCATGGGTCCCACACCCGTGAAGCCAGCCCTGCCTGCAGTTGTGACTGCCCTGGGGCGAGGGCAAAATGTATCCCCCCAACCAACCCTAAACCAAAGCTCTGGGGTCAGTGTCCTAACTCTGCCCTTTCCTTGTTTTTATTCCACCAATACATTCTGGTCTGATGACTTGCCAACAACACCTCACCCTTCTCCTCCCAATGAGAATGCTATTGGCACAGCAGATACTAACTTTTGGTATGACTTTGGCTACAGGGACCAACCAGTCCTGGTTTGCCTAGGACTTTCCCAGTTTTAACACTGAAATTCCCATGTTCCAGGAGCCCCTTCAGTTCTGGGTAAATCAGGACGATTGGTTACTCTAACCTTGGCCCTTTTGGTGAGTTCAAGCCAAGCTTTGGTTAGCTGGGGAAAGTAAACTCTGGTCACAAGCTACACTTCAAGAATCTTGACTGGTGGAAATGAAACACTAGAACCTGCATGTGTATGTTTGAGTCTTTAAATTAATTTAAAGATCATTATTGTATAATCATCACCAAACTATTTATTTATTTATCTATTTTTAGTATCTTTTACTAGGCCGTGTTTTCCAAGAAAACTATGTAATATCTGCATATTCCTTTGAAGCTCTGAATTCTCTTTTTAGAAAAAAAACATAATTTCTGTCACTCAGAGTAGTTATATAAAATTTATTTTTCACCTACTATGTATGTACATTATTCTCCAACAAAAGTCTTCATGAAAACAAAGAAAAAAGATCCATGAGTAGGCAGAGATACTATTACTCACCAATATTCTCCTCGGCGAATATCAAACCAAAGGGAACCAGACAGGCGAAGCAACCCTTGAGCCAGTAATAAGATAATAACAAAGTCTGGAGTCCAGTGATGTTGATTTTGATAAGTACCTCTCAGAAACTTACCCCTTGTCAAGGTACAATTCTGTGATGTGGCAGGAAGCATAGGGAGGAAGTTGTCCATTGTAAACATCTAGCGCCATCTGTAGGCCGCTCACAGTAGTGTCATGCTAAAGAGATTTGAAACATCATTTTTGATCTTTACCTCTGGTTTAGGTTTACGTTCAATAGGTATTAAGCACATATAAAGTACCATGATGGTTTATTTCCAACAAATTGTCCAATTAAATTTCTCATACTCCCATGACTTAAAAAAACCCAAAACCTGTTGCCATCGAGTCAATTCCGATAAGAAAAAGAGCGGAAGAGAACACATTTTGGTTGAGTATGTTGGTTGCTTTAGTTGTGTGCTGTAGATTCCGACTCACAGAAACCCTATAGTACAAAGAAGAACTGCCCCGTAGCGTTTCCAAGGAGCGGCCTGTAGACTCGAACTGTCGACCTTTTCATTAGTAGCCGAGTTTTCAACCACTGCGCCACCTGGGTTCCAGCTGCATGCTAGGCAGAGTGGTTTACAAACATATCACTATTCTCCTTTAAGAGATGAAGAAACTAAGACACAGAGAAATTAAGTAATTTGCTTAATGCCATATAGCCCCCGAAGTGGAGAAAATAAATTTAAACCAAGCCTTCTGACGTTAAGTTCTGTGCCTTTTCTACTAGAACATATCTTTGCTTTAGCTTCTTTCATTGATTTTCATCAAATTTTAAAATATGTTGGGACACATTAATGCTAGATTATATTTTCTGTATATTAGTATCGTCTGCTATTTTAAAGTTAGGGAAGAGCATATGAGGTTATAAATGTTTAGGGAGGATAAAATGTAAGGAAGCAGAGTGTGTAGCTTAAAAATAATTGTAACATTAATTTTTTTTTTTTTAGTGTGGCAGGAAGGCATAGAGGACTGGTTTTCAGTCCCAGTTTCACCATTAATCAGCTTTCTAATCTTAGGCAATCTCTGACTTTCATATGTACAAAATGGGGATAATATTTGGCTGCCTAAATTGTATGGCAGTATATTCGAAAGGAGTTAGAACTGATTTAACAGAGAAAGAAATGGAGTTACAGATAGAAGACTTTCTACAACAAGTTAGAACTGGAAACCAGATAAGAAAATAGAAAAATCAACAGATCTGACGAATTTCAGGCCCACCTCTCTCCAGGAGGGGGGCCCTGGAAGGTGCAAATGGTTAACTTGCTCTGCTGCTAATTGAAAGGTTGGAGGTTCGAGTCCACCCAGAGATGTCTTGAAAGAAAGGCCTGGTGATATGCTTCTGAACAATCAGCTATTAAAAACCCTATGGAGCACAGTTCTTTCCTGACACGCACAAGGCTGCTATGAGTTGGAGTTGACACCGTGGCGACTGGTTTTACTGGTTCTCTCCAGGAAGCACTGCACTCTGCTCCCTTCATGGATCCTTCCTTTAATCTATACCATTTAGAACACCTGACTGTAAGCAAACTTCCCTATATCTTCCGTCACCCCTTCCACTTTATTGCATGAATGAAAGCATGGCTTTCTCCAGCCAAATCACATTTGAGAAACTTCTGTCATAGAGACAGGGGGTGGGAGAAGGAGTCAGCATACTATGTCCTGTTTGCCTATTTGTCTGGGACTCCATGGGCAGCCATTTCAAAGCATGATACATTTCTAGCATTATTCCCCAACAGTGTCCCTTTCCTTGGTTCCTGTTCCAAAATGGTGTCTTCTCCAGGATCCCTTTTCTTTCTGGTGCCAAATGTTACCTAACTTCAAGTTGCAACTCTCTTTTCTTTCCCCTTCTTTCCGTTTATCATTTGGAGATCTCTACTTAGATGTCTTGGCATTTCAAACTCAATTGTCTAATTAGTCACCTGTTCTGATGGTTCCATCCTTCCAGCCTTCAAGGCTTATAACCTTGCCATCATCTGTGGCTTCACCTTCCACATCATTGCCCTTCACCCATATTCCAATTTGTCACTGAGTCCTGCACACTTAGCTTTCCTTTGTAACCCCACTACCTCTTTTCCTCTTCTGTTGCTGCCCTGGTTTTAGGCCACATCCTCACCTTTCTAGACTATAGCAAAAGCTTTGTACACCATATTCTGTTCCCACCCTCTCCCTCCTCCAGTCCATTCTACTACTCTTGTCACCTCTTGACCCACTTTCCCTGAGCAAACACCTTTAGGAGGTTCTCCCTTGCTTCATTACTCCTCTTATTTGTTAACCAAAGAAGCAGGACCAGGTGGCCTTTAAGCTGCCTTCCAACTCAAACATTTAAAGATTCTACATTGGCATTATTTAATACAACTTTCTGCAATGATGGAAATGTTTATATGTGTGTAGTCCCATTCAGTAGCCACTAGCCATCTGAGGCTACTGAGCACTTGAAATGTGGCTAGTGCCTCTGAGGCACTTAATTTTTCATTCTATTTAATTATAATGAATTTAAATTTAAATAGCCACAGACGGCTAGTGGGTGCCGTATTGGACAGCACAGTTAATACATACCTAATCTTATACCAGCTTCTCCACAAGATCCTGGCCTTCCACTTCTTTCCTAATAATTTCCTTCATATGCCTCACAGTGCAGTGAGGAACTGTTTACCAACCCTTCCCGTCTTGATGCCTTTGACGGGCTGCCTACTCCAGGAATCCTTCCTGCTTTTCTTCTCCACCCTCCCCACCAGAAGTAAAGCTTCCCTTCTTCTCTGAGTCATCAAAACACTTGCTTGTATGGCATTTCTATAATGCTTTGCATGGTGTTTGTGTGTTTGCTTGTCTTCTTGTCAGTATTAGATTGTAAATTCCTCAAGGGCCAGAATTATGTGTTTAATTCCAGAAGCTTTCAACAGCTGCCAACCATCTACTGGGCGATGGGGAAATGAAGACAAGGATGAGACCCCCATCCTCAAAGAGATCACACACTTGAACACATGGATGTTGAATGAAGACAAAAATACTTACTCCTGAATACATAACAAGTTTTCTGTGGTTTGATGGCTGAGTGGCATTCTTCATGTTATTGAGAATTTCATTGACCAGGACACCTTAAAGAAGATAAATTGACAATGGATCTGAACCAAATACAGCTGTATATTCTAGTTCATGAGCTTTTTGTCAGTTCATAGTTGGGGGCTTTCCCTGCCATGACCCTCATGACTTAAGAAGAAAGGGAAAGAACTAATTTTGGTTGAACATCTGCTGTGTGCTAGGCAATGTCATTTATATACACTATTTCACTGAATCCTAACTTCTAATCCCTATTTATAGGTGAGGAAATCGGAGGTCAGAGATATTAAGTGATTTGCCCAAGGTCACATGCTGGGTAATGAGAGCTGGATTGGGAAACTAGGGCTCAACTATACCAGGTTGTGTTAAAGCTCAAGTTAGGAGACTGAAAAACTTAGATAAATCTTAGATTTTTTTTTTCTTCAGGTCATAAAAGACAGTTGCCAGTCAATGATCTTCTCAAGTGCAGGCTTGATGTAACAACATGGTGTGTACTCTCTGTCTTCTCGCTTCCATTCTCTGGGCGTCAGGCTTGGGAGATACCAAGGGAGAAAGCAGCTCTCTGGATGTCTTTACGGGCTGGACTGTTCTGTGGACCATTTCCTTAGGTTACTAGGGTGTCACTATTAGGGGGGCAGCCAGCATCTTTAGCTTTCAGCTGAGAACTCCATCTGTCTCCAGTAGAGACATTTTTGCCCTTCACATCCAAAGATCCAGCTGTTGTTGCTCTTGAGATTGTGAATGGCTGACGCATGATTCACAGTCTCCATCCTATTTACAGACACCGAAGGCTGTGGAATACCTCATTTTGCCAGATGATGTTTTAAGGACATGTTGTCTCAGGGACTTTCACAACCATCACCTAAAACTATACTCATCCTTTGTTTGGTGGTCTCTCTGCTGTGCATGTGCTTTCCTGGCTTGAAGATGACCATTTTTTTCATAATGAGGAGGACATTGATGTTACAGACTGACTATAATCCAAGACTCTGTGGTCCACTTGCAAATACACTGAACAGACACTATGCTAGGTGAATCAGACATGCTCTTTGAACACAAAAATCTCATAAAATAGTAGGAAGAGAAAAGTCTGCATGCCAAAAAACACAATAAAGGGCTAATTAAAGAGAGTGATGATTTATCCTTTCTGTAGATGCTGGGATTTCCTCAAAGGTGACTGGAAGAAGCTGGACACTATATCTCTAACAGGTCTAAATCTCTCACTTCCAGATAGGGTTGCCCTCTGGAGACCTTTAGGGACTTTTAGCTTGACCTTCATGACACATTGGCACTAAACTTTGTGGCCAAGTTTCTGGGAGTCATGACAACCCTTCTGCAATTAGCAGCTTCTCCCTCTTCAATAGGGGCCTTTTTGGGTAGCCTGCAGCCTCCATAATAGAATATGTCAACTCTTGGTTCTGTGGCGATTGTCTTTCTTGTATAGGACTAACTAGGGGTGACTGTCACAATTATCCCCAGGTTCTAGCATGCCGATAATTCTGTTTTATAGGTGGGGAAGCAAGGGTCAGAGAAGAAGGCTCTGTAACTTGTAACAAGATTATACAACTTGTATGCAGAGAAGCTGGGGTTTGAACCTAGCATGTCTGACTTCAAAACCCTTGCTCTTAATTGTTAGACTACACAGTAGCATAAAAACTAGCATCTATGTTTTCTGTTGCATCCTTTATTAAATTTGCATAATTTAGATAAAATACCATTGATCTTATAGCATAAACTTTACTTTTCTCACTGTTGGGCTATAGCAGGGGTCAGCAAGTTTTCCTGCAACGGACCACAGGGTAAATATGTTTGGCTTCCCAGGCTAATAAGGTTTGTTGGTCGCAACTACTCAACTCTGCTGTTGTAACATGAAAGCAGCCACAGATAACGTGTAAACGAATGTGTGTGGCTGTGTTTCAAACAAACTTTATTTACAAAAAATGGACAGTGGACTGGATTTGGCCTGCAGGCTGCAGTTTGCTAATCCCTGATCTGAAGCAAGAAGAGGGCTCTATTAACACTGAAAATGACTAGTTGTATATTCCTAAAGTAGTCTTAGGGATTTTTTTGGTGTGTATGTGTTGGAACAGGAGAAAGATGTGGCAGTCTGCTCCCTTAAAGATTACAGCCTTGGAAAACCTATGGGGCAATTCTACTCTGTCCTATAGGGTCGCTATGAGTCGGAATAGACTTGACGGCAGTGGGGATGTGTTGGAGGGAGCTCTGGTGGCATAATGGTTAAGAGCCTGGCTGCTAACCAAAAGGTCGGCAGTTGAAATCCACCAGCCACTCCATGGAAACCCTACGGGGCAGTTCTACTCTGTCCTATAGGGTCATTATGAGTCGGAATCAACTCAATGGCAGGGGGCGCGGTTTAAATGTTGGAGGAATCTTTCTGAACAGTGTTATCTCTGACAGCAGCTGGTAGAACAGATGTTTTGGTAAAGGTCAGAAGATGATGGTCGGAGTCCTGATGTTCCCACATGACTCTGTGTTACCCAGTCAATACATATTTTCTGTGCATGATTGTGTTCAGCTGTGTCATCATTCGACACGCATGCAGTTGACAAATCTCTCTTGCCTAGTCAGATCTGAACAGTAGGCTGGGCTTGTGTTTTGACAGAAACCATTTAGGAAACAATTTCCTGGCTTATAAATCCCACTGGAATTCCTCCAGGAAGTAGGTCAGGCACCTCCCACAAGGAGAAGCCTTTAGAACCCAAGGCCAGGAATGCATCTCAGGGAAGGGATCTGATAGACAGAATCTGCTTATCCACTCATCAGATGGGGAAACTGGGACCCAGAGAGGGGAAGTGACTTCCTCCAAATGCAATCTTCTAGTAACCAAAGGGAGAAAAAGAAGGAACACGAGAAAGCTGCTGGGATAAACCTCATCTCTTATTCATACACATCCCCTGAATCCATTATTAGACTATTATGGACTCCTGCCTGGCTTTCCCTGCATTTTTCTTCACCATCTCTTGCATCTAGAGAAGTGCTTCTCACACTGTAATGTACTTACGAAGTACCTTAGGAATTTAATAAAATGCAGATTCTGATTCATCTGGTCTCAGGTGGAGCCTGAGAGTCTGCGTTTCTAACAAGCTGCTAGGCAATGCTGCTGGTGCCAGCCTATGAATTGCAGTTTGAGTAGTGAGGACAGGGGCTAGATTGAGGGGCTAGATTCCTTAGCCTATCATGACTAGGCTGGGGGGAAATAAATCAGGAGTTCATCTCCACCATCTGATGGGGCTTGGGACTAAGTCATATTGCTGGCATCTCGTGGGCTAGGAATTACATAGCCAACAAGGCACCCCTGCTACTTCTGCATTCTTTGTTGGTTTAGTTCATGAGATTGACTTTCTCCTGGCCTCTGGCCCTACACACGGGCTGTATCCTGCTGGGTAATTTGTTTTTTTCATACATTAATTCATTTTAATCCTCACAGCAGCCTTACAAAGTAGGTCTCATTATTATCCCCATTTTGCAGAATAGAAACTGGTGCAAGAGAGATTAAGTGATTGGTGGTAGCACTAGGTCTCAGACCTAGATCTACCAACCACAAACCTAATATGCTCTTCTCATTTATTTTATACTTACCCCCCTGGAGTCTAGATTTCTCTTTTTGCTTGTGAATTCCATAGAGGGACAAGACGGACAATTCTGATAATTCTCTCAGCTTAGTCATGGTATCCTCAGTAACCCAGGAAGGTAAAGTGAAATTGTGAGTTCTCTGTAACAAAGAAAAAGGAAGAAAATGTGCATGCATTTTTTGTTTCTGACTGTCCTCTTTGTTGACTTTTTATCCTCTTTCACCCTACAAGAGCTACTGGGTCTAGCCTTCCTTGTCCTGCTATTTCTTTCAAGGACAACTTTATATTTTGATAAGTCGTGATGTTGAGTCTCAGAAGAAAAACTAATTTGTCCCTTCCTACCAAGTCGATAGCTTTTGACTTAACTAACTCTGGATCAATGGGTGATTTATATTTTGCAGGGTATCAGTGTGTGCAGAACAGTAAGAATGTACCTCATTCCTTCATGAAAGGTTTAGAAATCTTTCGTAAACCCATGGGGAAAGTAAAATCTGGCAAAGAATAAACTTGCCAGGATTCGACAATGCTTCCTTAAAAACTGAATGAGCTGCCTGAGAGGTTACCTGGGAAAGGCAATGTATTTCTGGAGTCTTCAATAATGTACCTCCCACCCCCATCAGATTCTAGTTCAGACTCTTCGGGGAACTCTGCACCTTGCACACAGTAGGCACTTGGTGAATGAATATTTGCGAAATGGATGAAAAAGACCTACAGCAGGGCAGGTGGAGATATTGTGCAAATATTTATTACAAGCTATGGAGAGGTGATGGCAAAGTGGTTACGAGCTCAGGCTGCTAACCAAAAGATTGGCGGTTAGGATCCGCCAGCGGCTCCTTGGAAACCCTGTGGGGCACTTCTACTCTGTCCTATAGGGTTGCTATGAGTCAGAATCGACTCAACGGCAACAACATGGAGAGTTGATTAGGAGTCCCCCAGTTTCAAAGGTAGGATTGAGAGAGAGAGTTCATGAGAGAGGAGACCAAAGTGAAGAGATCTACAGAGGAAATGATGTGGGTGGGGAGGATGAAAATGATACCACATACCATGGCCACATTATGGAATAGCTCAGATCAAACTGTAGTAAGGAAGAACAAAAATGTCAAGATGGGAACCAAAACATAGGATCTTGTCTCCACTGAAGACTCTTTTCATAAGGCAAATAAATCACTGAACCAAATGCTGAAGATAGAGCAAAACTCTGAGGAAAGTAGCATGTGCTTAGGCCTATTAACTCTTTCACGTCTTCATGGAGGAGGGACACACTGTGTCACCTGTTATTGAGACAGAACTATGAAATTACTTGCTGGCCAGATATTCATGACCTCAACATCAGAGTAGGACGAGTAGTCAGAATTTGGGCAGTCAAACGTGGGCAGTCAGAATTTAGCCCTGGGATTTAGTGAACTGGTTGGAAACAAGAATATAGAGTACTCCTTTTGGCCAGAAGGTAGACCATGGTGAATGAAAAACACCACATAATCTTGAAAGACAAAATAATAATGAATCTAGCAACAAGGATTATTTCATATGCACAGTCCAGCGAGGAAGAGGTCCTTTACTGAGAAGCCAATTTCAATAGCCTGGCTTATAGCTGGCTTGCTAACTGATATTTCCAAAAATCAAGTAATTTTTTTCTCTTTCTTATACAAAAGCATTGCTTTTTTTCCCCATTAAAATCCATCACAGGAGTCCAGTATTGCTGAGTGACTGAAAAATAAGAAAGCGGCAAGGCATGGAAGAAAAACAAGTTTCTAAAAGGTGAAAACATAATAGAAAAGAGAAGTTAGGATCTTTAAGTTAATATAAAGAAGTTTTGAGTTATGTTTCAATGTCAAAGGAAGGATAAGTAATACATCTGCAAAAAAAAATAATGTGTTTTTCTGTTCCAAATAGGCACAAATCATAAAGTCAGATTGTAAATTAATCTTTGATAATTTTTTCTTTACCTCACACAATAAAGGGTCATAGACTCTACTCCAAATTCCAGCAAGGGACTGATCCTTGTACCCTGAAAGTTTTGGCAAGGTTTCCATAAAATCCTGAAACACACACAGAGGGGAAGATTTTTTTACATCAGGATTTCTCAACTTCAGCATTATTGACATTTTGGTTGGCTAATTCTTTGTTGTGGGAGGCTGTCCTGTGCATTGTAAGATGTTTAGCAGTATCCCTGGCCTCTCCCCACTAGATGCCAGGATCAAGATGGCAGTTGTGACAACCAAAAATGTCTCCAGATATTAACATATGTCCCCCGGGGGCAAAATCACCCCCTTTGAGAACCATTGTTCTTCATAGAAAAGTGCACCAGTAATGTAGACTGTGAAAATGCTTACCCAAAGAATTTTACACACACTAATTGATCACTTCTCATTATTACACTAAAAATACCGACCAGTGCTGGTTCACTGCCACGTGTTCCTGATTTGTCCTGGAATCAATGGAAGTGCACTGCTTCAAATTCTTTTTGGAAGGAGGTGAAATATAGCTCACATACAAATGAGAGGCTGAGGTGAGAGAGAAAGGCATGTTGCAGTTCAGGAAAACACAACAGAAACAGGATCTGGGTATCTGATTAAAGATGTGAAATCTGATTGGGATACAAACATCCTGCTAGGTTCTGTATTATTCTTGGATTTTCACAACAAAGAGACTCAGTGTTCAGCTATCTGACTCAACCATTCATGGCAGCAATTTCTAGGAAAACTTTTGGAAGATACTGCTTATTCTAAATCAAGGGGAAGATTTTCTAGGAAAAAATAATTTGCCAGTATTAATCCCAAGAAAGACAAACAGATCGATGTCCATACAATAAATTTTATGAATAATTGTTAAAAAGCTCCCACTCCGACACCACCTCCGCCTCCTCAAAAAAAAGTCCCAGGGCCAGATAATTTCATGAAGGAATTCTGCCAAGCTTTTAAAGAGTAAATTATTCAAATGTTATTTTAAATGTACTGGAGCATAGAAACAGGGGAAAAAAAACAACAACTTCCATTTAAAAAAAAATAAATTACGTATAATATTGATACTGATGAAGACTGGCTGGAAAAGAAAACCGTAGGCCAATGTCACCTGTGAATATCAATGCAAAAAATATAAATTAAATTATTACTTAAGTAATCCAATAGCACATTAAAAGAAAGCGGTTTATTGTAAAAAATGCAAAGTAGGTTCAGTATTAGTAAATCTATGAGTATAATTAATCATAGTAGTTGATCCAAGGAGAAAAATAACTTGATTATATCCAAAAGATGTTAATAAGAAAGATGAATACTTCCTTAACTTGATAAAAATATGCTTATCTTGGCTCTAGAGACAGAATTTTTTTTTAATTGTACTTTAGATGAAGGTTTACAGAACAAATAGTTTCTCATTAAACAGTTAGTATACATATTGTTTTATGACAATGGTTAACAACCCCACAACATGTCAACACTGTCTCTTCTCAACCTTGGGTTCCCTATTACCAGCTTTCCTGTCCCCTCATGCCTTCTAGTCCTTGTCCCTGGGCTGTTGTGCCCCTTTAGTCTCGTTTTGTTTTATGAGGCTGTCTAATCTTTTGCTGAAGGGTGAACCTCAGGAGTGACTTCATTACTGAGCTAAAAGGGTGTCCGGAGGCCATACTCTTGGGATTTCTCCAGTCTCTGTCAAGGCCAGTAAGTCTGGTCTTTTTTTGTGAGTTAGAACTTTGTTCTACATTTTTCTCCAGCTCTGTCCGGGACCCTCTATTGTGATCCCTGTCAGAGCAGTCAGTCAGTGGTGGTAGCCGGGCACCATCTAGTTCTACTGAACTCAGTCTAGTGGAGGCCATGGTAGTTGTGGTCCATTAGTCCTTTGACTAATCTTGCCCTTGTATCTTGTTTTCTTCATTCTCCCTTGCTCCTGAAGGGGTGAGATCAGTGGAATATCTTAGATGGCTGCTCACAGGATTTTAAGACCCCAGATACTACTCACCAAGGTAGAATGTAGAACATTTTCTTTATAAACTGTGTTATGCCAATTGAGCTTGATGTTCCCCAAGACCATGGCTCCACAGCCCTCCACCCAGCAATTTGGTCCCTCAGGGAGTTTGGATGTGTCTATGGAGCTTCCATGATCTTTCCCTGTACAAGTTGTGCTGGTTTCCCCAGTATTGTGTACTGTCTTACCCTTCACCAAAGTTATCACTTATCTATCGTTTTAGTATTTCCCCCCTCCCCCACTCTCCCATCCCTCGTAACCAACAAAGATTGTCTCTTTTTGTGTGTAACCTTTGTCATGAGTTTTTACAGTAGTGGTCTCATACAGTATTTGTCCTTTTGTGATTGACTTATTTCACTCAGTATAATATCCTCCACTTTCATCCATGTTATGAGATGCTTCACAGATTCATCATTGTTCTTTATTCTTGCATAATACTCCCTTGTGTGTATGTACCATAGTTTGTTTATTCATTCATCTGTTGATGGGCATCTAGGTTGTTTCCATCTTTTTGATATTTTGAACAATGCTGCAAAGAACACAGGTGTGCATATGTCTATTCATGTGATGGATCTTATTTCTCTAGGATATATTTCTAGGAGTGGGATTGTTGGATCGTATGGTACCTCTATTTCTAGCTTTCTAAGGAAGCACCATATCATTTTCCAAAATGGTTGTATCATTTTGCATTCCCACCAGCAATGCATAAGAGTTCTGATCTCCCCGCAGCCCCTCCAACATTTGTTATTTCCAGTGTTTTTGATTCGTGCCAGTAATGCCTGGGTGAGATGGTATCTCATTTGTGGTTTTA